CCATTTTTGCACCTCCATTTTTTTCTGAAGTAATGTCCAATAAATGTTACACGTAGATGAAAAATTACAGGAGTAATGAAATGCCCATGAAATGTACAAGATTTTGCATATAAAGTTATTTCTCGTGCGAATCAAAAACTTGTATAACTTGTATAACTATACTTGTATATTTGTAATATACCAATATATAAAGGGTAGGGGAGAATTATTAATTGTAAATATACTAATCTGCTAATATCTTCACAAATTGTTATAAATTCAATGAAACCATTGATAAATGAGAGATAATTATTGATAATTTTTATTGTTTTGATGAATTGATTGTTATCAGTTTTTAACCCTTTCGACTCGGGTGCCGGCAAAAACTGTTGTAAAGTTGCAATGTGGGTCAATATTTAATAATTTTACCAAGGGTCGTGTTTATCGAACACATTCAAGAACATAATGCAGAAAATTTTCCGCAATCCGCTGAGATTGACAAAACGTAATTTTTTTAAAACTTTACCGGCACCGGGCAATGGAAGAATGTTTCGAAATTCATCATACGAAATTATTTTATATTATTATAATATAAATAATTGAATAAATAATACTTTTTGTTCTTGAGATATATTAGTGAATGTACATGAATTTTTGACCAGAATGACTGATTTACTTGAATTTTCTTATTTGTTTAAAAATTTGTTATATTATATATATATTTTTTTTAGATAAATAGATATTATTACAATTTAAATGTTATTAAATAAAAATTTTGCATTATAATATGATAATTATAACACAATAATTTATACATATAGCATAAATGTAGTCCAAAAACTACCAAAACGGTCATCGGTATTATAATATATATTGTTAATTTTAAACAAAAATAAAAAGAAAATGTTATCAGAAACACATATTACATCAATTGAACTTTTAAAATCCGAAATAAAAAAAAACTGCTCTTTTAGATCACTTTTCACGAAAAAAAACCCGACCGTTAAGTGGTTAATTCTAATATTTTCACCTAGTATCTGTGGGCATTAGCAGTACTACTCAATTATACATAAATTAATGTAATTAACCCTACTATAACAAAAGACTTAATGTACTGTTTTTTTTTTTATTCATAAATAACAAAATTTTATTAACAAAAGTTAAATACAGTTTAATAAGCAAAATATATGCCACTAATTTATCTGAGCTGATGAAATAACCAGTTAATTTAATGGAAATGTACTTTGAAAATCATTAATATTGAATAATATATTTCTAAAAAATATCATGTAATATTGAAAAAATTAATAATTATTTAGAATTTAAGTTTCAGAATAAATAAACAGGGTTATTTGAACAGATACTAAGCTATCAAAACAAACACCTTTTTTTATGTTTGTGCTTCTGATTGCTTAAGTAACTGTCTTAATAACCTAGTGAGCAAAGCAATATAGGATTTATATATTAGTCACAGCCAGTGGGCCTCTTTTCAGAATTCTTTTTGGTAAACTCTTCTGCATTTTTGGTAAATTTCTTACGATCCCTTAAAAATTCTTCTGCTAAATCAGCACGGAGTGGATGCTCTGGTTCAGGGTCATTAACAAGGGCTATAAGTGCTTGAATCACTGTTGAATACAAAATTAAATGATTGGTATTTAAAAGTTTTGAAGAAAAAAAGCAAAGATGCAGGTAAAACAGGTGTTTAAAATCAATGTAAAATAACAAATTATCATATTGTTTAAAAAAATGACAATAACAAAACTTTTATTTGGTTAGAATTTCTCATCTTTTTACCTTGATCAGTTTTTGTTGCAGGTTTCCAATTTTCAGCGCTAATTATTGGAAGGCAGACTTGGCCTTTTTCATCTATATTTGGATGATAAATCTTCGTTTTGAAACTAATTTTTGGTGGTTTGAACGGATATTCTGCTGGAAAGTTGATTTCAATTCTGAATGCTCCTTTATTATAAGGTGGATTTTCCTACAAAAATAGTGCAATTTTAAAAGTGGCAATCTGAAAAGTGCATGTCATTATAGTTGTACTCACAGGAACAATTAACCCTTGCCATGTTAGTATATTCGATTCATCGACTTGTATATCGCGAAATGATTTTAATCCTGATTGTCTAATGTCTCCCAATTCCTGAAATACGATTTAATTGACATACAATATACATTTCGGGTATGCGGAAATAACCTAAAAAAACAACAACAAGAAACGGCTTCTGGTAGAAGTCAGGACTCTATGTACCCGTTAATTAAGAACATTACATACGCGTTTTTTTATTGTGCAACAATAATTTGAGATTTAGAAGGATGTTTTTACCTTTTGTAATCTTCTCGTTGCTGCCATTTTGAAGTTTCCTTCAAATACTTTGTAATGATTTATCTACGGGCAAATTATATTGTCAAAAAATGCACAAAATCTTTCAAAAACTAATTGCGTAAAAAGCACATATTTCAAATATAAATAATTTTCCAACAAAAAAGTTACGATGTTACAAAATTTTGCCTGACAAACTCTCGACATACGATTGCTTGACAGATGGCCAGTGGTCAACTGGTCACATACATATAAAACAAAAATTTTAATATAGATAGGACGGCATGTACCATCAATGTCGATATCGCGCGCACATTATGATTGCAAACTTTAGCCCAAAATTAAAACGAATTTTTTTTATAAATTCAATAGTGAATAATGTTCATACCAATCATAGATAAAAAGAAGAGTATATGATACTAATTTATGTAAATAATAATAATTTTGAAATTTTAATGATTTTAAAATAATAAATAAAGTATTATTTAAATATGTGCTATATAATAATTTTTAGTGATAAACCAAGTTATAAACAATATCTGAAAATAATAATAATAATATTGTAAGAAAAGATCTTGCCAATTTGGAAAAGATACATATATTTTTTTATTTAACCTGCAACGAAAATTATTACATTTAAAGTACAATTACAAACAAATAACTTTGCTTATATGTATACAAAGACTAATATTTTCAATTTGTACTAAGTTTTAAAATTACTCACGATAAATAATAATTAACATGGAGTAGATCAAACATATGACTTGTTCAAAAAAAAAAAGCATTGTGATAGTGAATAGAATTCAGTTATAATTAAAATATTAAAGCAAATCATTTTTTCATAAAAAATGTGCTGTTTTTTAATTCTAAACGTTACATTTTACATCTTACGCATCACAGCAATTTTTTATGATAGGCAGTGAAAGTCAAAAGTCTGTGTAAGCATATGAATATATTATATACTAATTCATATTGATAAAAGGTGTATATGCAGATTGGTATATAAACAGAAAAAAAAGGATCATTCTGATTAATTTATGTACATGAAACAAAATGATATATTCATCTAAAGGTAATGTATATTTTGCCAAACACCAAAACATAAACGGTTCGGCAACTATATTCAAAAAAAAAAAATTCAAAATCAATGAATGATTCAAAATCTAATACAAAAAAAACATCTGAATGATAGAGAAAATAATCTAAACAAGTAATATATTTCATAAAGTATGTAACTCTAGTCTTAAATGCAACTTCCTTTTAAACTATTTGGAGTAATAAAATAAAGCATATAATAATTCTAGTGAAATACATACAAATTTTATTTTATAAAGTAATATATTCATATTTGTACCAGAAATAAGTAAAGACTCATAAAGAAAAAAAAATAGTTATGAATATAAATAATATAAATATTATAAATACTGAAATGCTTTTCCAACTTAATTTACAACTTCTTATCATTTTCATTTAATTGCATTAATTCAAATAATTAGTATGATTTTAATAAATTAACATGCAAAATTGTGCTATGAGTGAGGTGAAAATATTAACATTAAAGCATATTATGTTTTTGGTGCCTAACTATATAAAATTACTAAAATGTACAAATTAACATAAAATAAATGTCTTAGTTTTCAATCCAATAGTACAAATGTCTAATTTGATACCGAAAACATCTAAAAACTATCAGATTTTATTAAAATGGTACACTAAATCTAGTTTGATATTTAAAATTTGTTTCTATTTATATGTAAACAACCTTTATTTACAAGTATTAAAATTTTACTTTTAGCTATCTGACCAAACTAGACATACGAAGCCAAACTAAAATGCCAACCATGGGTGATGTTGTAATGATTCTTTAGAACGATCTCCATAATCGTAAGTCACTTCTTCTCCAGGCTGAATATCATCTTTCGCCACCAAAACTAAATGTGGTGTTGCACCTATCTGAACTGTCTTGGTCAACAGATTACCATTTCTAGAATGATTAACAAGACGCCCTAGTTTACCAGATTCTTTCGTAGCGTCAATACTGCAATTAATAGTTAAAAATTGATCATTTAATATAACATATATATATATATATATATATATATATATATATATATATATATACATGTGTTGACATGTAACACATAATCCAAGCTGACAACATGTTCGTTTGGAATAAGCTTTTTTATAATAAAATATGTTATTTTAATTTTAAAATTATTTAAAATTTACATAACTCGACGTTTTATCAATTTGTTGTTTCATAGTTTTTTTTCGTGCATTTTTATTTTTGTGTTTTTTTTTTGCAAATTTATTTGGTCAATTCAAGACCCAAACGTATGTTTTCTGAATAAAAACATTTTCTTTCATTAAAACTGTTTTTAATTACTGTATGGATGCCCAAGAACAATTTTATCACACATTATAACTTTATGAACTCATACAGTAACAAAAAATATATTAGCTTAAATATATTATGAACTGTTCACTGATAAAGACACTATGTGATCTATGTAAAATACGCTTAATGAATAAAATAGCACAATGAAGTAATTTTAGGATTTGAAGTTAAGAAAAAATTTCTACATATAATTTGTGCAAAAATTAACAATTTTCTGAAACATTAAAATTTTGAAATCTAAGTCTAAACATCTATAGCAGGCACTCATATATATATATATATATATATATATAATATATATATAAATGTAAATGTAAATATATATATATATATATAGTATATAATATATATATAAATCTTGTATTTTTAATATAATATATATGTTAGTTAACCGTTTCGACTCGGATGCCACCGCTCCGGCGGTAAAATTCTTATAAATCTCGGAATTCATGAGTGGAAAGTGTTAAGTATAAAAATTGAATGAAAATAGAAAATTGTATTAACGTTTTAGACATACATAAAAAAATAGTCTTAGAAATTCATTTGATATCCATATGTTTCAACTGACATTCTTGTCTTCATTCAGTAGAATAGAATCATAATAATTAAAACTAATTATTATAATTCTATTCCCCTTAATGAAGACCAGGATGTTAGCCGAAACGTATAGACATCACATTTTTAAAACATCCATGCATTTTTTATTGATGTAACACCCAATCTTTAAACTTAATATATATTGTATCAACATCAAATACAAGATTAATTATATATATATATATATATATATATACACGTGTGCGTGTGTGTGTATGCATACATGTTGCATTTTATTACTAACCAGTATTGCTTATTTCTATGTTTGAAATAATACATGTAACAGCCAGTATTCTCATCACGTGCATAAATGAGTTCCCTGTCTCGCGCCTCTGTCATTGAAATTAAATCACCAGAATATTCTACTACAAAAGAGCCTCTAGCAAAAAATTTTGAAGCGACAATTCCACGTCCTTTGCCAGGAAAATTATGAACCTAAAAAAAATTTCTTTAAATATACACCTTGATTTTAGATACTTTTTCTTTCGCACTGATTTTCCTTCATTTTTCAAATAATTGATACCATACAAACTGAAGTGAATTTCGATACTTCAATAGCAACTAATGTTTAACTTTGGAAAATAAGAATTTTGGAAATGCAAACTTTGAACTGGTAAATATTACCTCTAAACCTTCTTCTACTTCAGCTTTAATTGCTTCTTCTATATTTCTTTGTCTTTCTTCCAAAACAGTTTTCTTAGTTTTCCTAATACTACGCCTAATTGGAAAATAATCAGTCAGTTTTTTCTCTGTTGTTTGTACATTGGATTCCAAATTTGTTAGTGCATTTTTCTTATTTGCTACGTTTTCTGGAGGGTTATTTAATTGACCTAATTTGGTATCAGTACTTGGTGAAATCACTTTTGGTGTATTATCAGTATGGGATGATTTCAATCTAGAATTAAAAAAAAAAAAAATTGGTTCCAGTAACAAAAATAACAGTAAAATAATTTGTAAATATGCTTTTTATAAGATTCATATATCAACATAAAAATATCTTGCTATAACATATGACTAATGTTATGAACATTATGAGCTGTTAGCCAAACAGAGAAATTGCAAATAACATGTACTTTTACGTTGCCTCAAGCAAAGACAATTTGCCATTGAGTTAAACATATATATTACTTATAAAATGTATTTCCGTTTGAAATGAAAAGTAATTGGTTATAAACTTTAAATTATTAAACTAAACATCACTATCACTTAAAAATAAAGTGTTCAAGGGTCAAATCTGAAGTGTAATAAACAATTAATATTGAATATCCCTTCTAAGTAAATTCAGAATATTTGTCTACCAAACAATATACAAAAGATTAGAGTTATTAAATAGAAGTGCCAGCTAACTCAATATCATATGCAAACATATATATGTATTAATAATAAATACAAAGCATGCAAGAAATAAATAATCAATGATCAACTCACCTTCTTCTAGATTTAACATTTTTTCTTGGAAATGCAATTCTAAGTTGTGATAAAGCAGATGTGGGTGAATTATGAATCCCAGTAACAGTATTTTCATTCTGTTGCATGTCTAATGAAATAAAAAATTTAATATAAATAATTAAAATATAATAAAAATATACTGCTATTATTTGTGTAAATTTAAAGTAAATACCTTTTGTTTCAGATGAACTTTTGTCTGCTGGTTTTACTTTCTTGGGAGTAGTGTCATTAGAGTTATTTGGAGTAATATTTGATACCCGTGATGGGCTTAAATCAGTTGTAATTACTGGAAATTGTCCAATTCGATGGGGAGTTCGGTAAACTCGATGTAAATGAGCTGAAAACATATTTGGGTAAATATCTAACAATTACACACATGCTATATATATACATATATATATATATATATATTTTGAATAGTCTCGAATATTATATATATATATATATATATATATATATATATATATATATATCTAGAAAGTGTTATTACCGTTTGCCAATGTAGATGGATTTTTTCTAGGAGAAGTCCTCACAGAAATGATTGGCTCTATTTCACATTCATTACTAGATGCATTGGAATCTTCAGATACAGTAGGTATTGAAGAGCATTCAACAACTACACCACTGTCCAAGGAAGCATCATCACTCAAAGCCACTTCTGGTAATAATAAATATCTGATGAGTGCTTGAAATCAAACCTTAACTCTTTTATTAACTTCCCGAAAGAGAAGTTTGTTTTCATAAAAAAATTCAATTCGCTAATTTTATGTTTTCTCGACGTTTCAAGCCATTTTGACTCAAATGAGACCAAATTTGGAAAAAGTATGTGTGTGCATGTGCAAGAACAGATTTTTTGCTGTAAATCGACGTTTTATCAAAAACGGCTAGACCAATTTCAAAAATTTAAAAGACTCGATGTGGATCACTGTTTGTCAGTCTTGCGCGACGATTAAAAGTCCTACAAAAACTGGTTCAATTATAAAAATTATTGATTTGTGAAAATTTGCTTTAAGAAAATACTCCGAGTCAACGTGTTCATTCATTTTCAATTATATGTAATAAATCCACTTGAAATACTTTTAATCACTCATAAATTGATTTATTTTTTATTGATTAAGTCAAACATTTACACGGCAAAATACCAATAATAATTAGTTTGAAATAAAACCTCAACATGTAATTTTTAATTACACAATGAGAAATTTATGGTAAAACATATCATTTGTGAGTAACAAATATTGAAGACATTGATTTTTGTTTTTAAATATATTGAATATGTAATTTAGTTAAATTTATACCATTTTGAGGATTTCTATCCAAAGTAGATTCTGTTTCTGCATCACTATTTTCTTCAACGGTAAGATCAATTGTTTTTGGTGCGGATAAAACTCCAATAATGTCATTCATTCTAAAGTTACTATCAACAAGATTCGAATCTTCAGTCTTTGTTTCTGATTGATATCTATCTTGCACTTGAAAATATTCTGTTATGGCTTGATGCCTAAAATTTAAATGAACAAATTGAAATCAGTTTCAGTTACATAAAATGATAAAAAAAACACAATGCTCATACTTGGATGTTGCTCTGAAAGGATCCATTGTTAAATTAAGCTTAGTCTTGCGGTTATCTGTTTTTATGAACTCATCAACAACACTCCTTTGCTTTTGATTTGTTGGTGAGTGTGACAACTTTCCACTAAAATCTAATTTACTGTCTTTACGTTTTGGACTTGCACAAAATGAATCTACAACTCCCAAATGAGTTCGAGCACCTCTTGCACGACGTCCTACCATAGAAAATGATGTTGAATGATTTTCTATTACATACATATTTCGTTATATTAAATAACAATTTTTTTCAATGGTTAGTATCAGCCATTTAAAATAAATACATTTTTTAAATAATTTATCTAATGAAGTCTTTGGCTGTAAATTTACCTCGAACCATGTCGAAAAGTTTTTTGATAGAAATCCTTAGTATGTAAATTTTTATAAAACCAAGATAAGTAAATTCACATTATTCAAGTAAAATACGAATGAACTTTACACATAATACTGGATATTTCTGTTAGGTAATTTATAAATTATTTATTATACTTCAGAGCAAATCAAACTAAAAATGGCGATATATAAATAAACACAATTACAGATATTTTGATTTTATAAAGTTGGTATTCAAAGAAACGTAGATTTAAATTCGAGATATACCGATAGTCGAGATGTTGTGTTGGCCATATGTTATGCTTTGCTTATTTATCTATGATGTTGGCAATGTTGGTCATTCGGATTCGGACGAGATAGATAAGAAGATACTCTTCTTTTATCTATGATTCGGACGTTTCGATAAGTAAACTTGTTTATCTGTTTATCTATGTACAGACTCTTCAAATCTCTTTCCTTATCTATGGTAGCATTTGGTAGCAATAATCTTGTGTTTGACAAATTATAACCTAACTTACGTTCAAAGCGTTCTAGGCTAGGGTTATATGACGGTATATGACACTCAGTATAACAATATTTATTACGTAATGTGTATCTTAGGACTTTTAGTAATAAAAAAAAATTATTGACTCTAATTAGAATGCATTCCGATTTATCCGCACACTTCATTCAGATGAATGCAATGCGATTATTAAGCGATTACAAAATTGCCGGCAAAGGTATGTAATTTGAACAGTAATTTTTTTATAGCGTTATATTGTTTTACATAATATAAAGTGAATGTATAAATCTTAGAACGCGTTTATGAAATTTTTGGGAGCTTGTAACGATATTGATAGAGAATTAGTGAAGTGCCTTCGAAGAGATCGCGAAGCAAAACGCAAGAAAAATAAAGAGTCTTCTGACTTAAGATACAAGCGTAATACAACTTCACAATAATATTGTTGGGTTATACATCGAGATAGTCAAATCATGGCGAGCCATGATGAAAGTACACTAGATATTCCAAAAATAGAAGATTCTATAGAATTGCAAAATCCGTTCCCGAATGTTACTGAAAGATATTATACTGAAAGATATATTGTGGATGACAAAGGAGGAAAAGAAGATCATCTTTTGCTGTTTCACACAAATCGTATATGTATCATTACTTTAGCACCATCACATCCTGTATTTAAGAGAAAAATTCTGAAAATCGATTATGTGATTGGCAATGTAGATCGAACAAAAAATAAAATATCTGGCAAAGGTAAGAAAGGCGGACAATATTTACAAGAGAACTCTATAATTTGCAAGATTATTTTGAAGATGAATATGTATATAAAGTAAAAGTTATATTAAAGGCAAATTAATAGAGGTTAATGAAAACATTTTACAAGATCCATCTTTATTTTTACGTGCACCTTGCGCTGAAGGATTCTTGGCAATCATTTACCCAATATTACCCAAATAGATATGTGGAAGAACAAATATTTAACAAAAGAACAATATGAGAAGAATAACTTTAATTCAGTTTTGTCTGATTGAAAATATAAATAAAATGTTTCAAAATAGTTTGTTGATGTTACTTCCATTCATATATACATATAATCTACCATATTTTCTTAATTTGCTTCATATTTGCAGTCATTTTTTGTAATTTTTATGTTCACAAATTTATTTCATTTATATATGAAGTAAAATTTAGGAAATAAATATATACACAGAAATTCCACTTATATATTAATACAATATCCAGACTTTATAAGAAACAATATATTAACAAAATTTACAAATTAATACATGTTATAATATTTTAACTTATTTGTACTCTATCACATTTTTGCTCGCACATGTATTTAAAGATACCTGAAGTAATGCAAACAAATATATGAAAATAAAAAGGTTCATATTTCTGAAGTTTAATTAATATGTCAGGAATAAATAAGAGATATGTCTGATAATCTATATCATCCTCCATACTAGCAAAACTATCATGATCATCAGAATTACACACTGATATATTTTGCGAGCTAATTCTGGGTGCGTTTTTTGTACCAGCTTCTGACATAAGTTCAAGTTCATCTAATTGATTTATAGTGAACAATTCTTCATTAATTTCTGAAATTCTTGAAAAATAAGACTGTTCACTTTGAGAACTGATATCTGAGTCAGAAAACGTATCTTGAACATTTTCTATTTCCGAAATATCTTTGACTATTGACATATTATCTTGTAATTTATTTGAAGAAGTTTTAGCATGAAACTTTCATGTACCATAATAAGTTCTGTTGATATATTTGGTATTATGCTTTCGTCACTACTAGATTCAGGCTCTGAACATGATATAACTATGTCCATAAGAGACCCATCTAATTTACTGTCGTCTGCATTTTGCTTGTGACATTTTAATGGGTTTTGATTATTTAATTTATTTTTTTTGCCATTAGTTTAGCTTTAGTAGAATGTTCATTTTCATAATTGCATTTTCTGTTTCCAATATATCTTTATTTGTATGAGAAACATCTTTGGATATCGTCATACTTTCTTGTAATTTATTTGAAGAAGTTGTTACATGGGATGCCTCATGTACCATAATAAGTTCTGTTGATATATTTTGTATTACACTTTCTTCGCTACTGGATTCAGACTCTGTGCTTGAAATAACTATATCTATAAGAGACCCATCTAATTTACTGTATTCTGCGTTTTTCTTATGATAATTCAAAAGACTCTCTTGGTTATTGAATTTATTTGTATCACCATTTAGTTCATCTTTAGTAAAATGCGTATCTTCAATCATTGCATCTGTTTGGACACATTTTTCTACCAGATGCTTACTTTTTGATATGCTAGCTGTACGATTCATTGAATTTCCGGCAAACAGATTCACCAGATGTAACCTATTCAATTTATTTTTATGGTTGCGCACATCATTCACATAATCCTTTACAAACTGTTCATGTTATTTTGTGATGTAACTATATTCCCCAATGGCTTTGATATTGATGATGGTGCAGATGGTGCTAATAATTCACTACCATCCACATGCACATCACCGGTACGGATTGAATCTGAAAGTCTTTGTGAACTAGAAGCCAAAGGTATAAATGCATCTTGTGTATTGGTATATAAGTGATCAATATTTTTGTTCTTGAAAATAATGTCTTTTTTAATGGCACTTGTGGAATAAACATTTCAGATGGTGAAGATATACTATTATTAAAATTTTCACTATTATATTGAACATCATTTGGTGCCAAAGAATGATCTTTTTCCTCTCTATCTTCAAAATCTGTGCCAGCATTCATTGAGGGCATAAATAAGTTGTTTGAACTGATGCTTGATAAAGTGCATTTCAAAAAATTATTGAGAAAGATTTGGTCACATTTTTCATCAATGCCGACTAATTGCTTAATCTTGATTACCTTCAATAAGTTGCGAAAATCTGTTGAAGTAATGGCATCAGCATAACATATAATTTGGACTCCAACCTTTTTCAATTCTTCTGCCTCATTTATTGTATAAAGTGCTGATGGAATAATTGTTAGAATCTTCTTTTCTATACTGCGTCTGAAATAATAATTACTAAGTAACTTTTGTATAAAGAGGTTCTTCAGCAGATTGATAGCATAATATCTAGCATTCAAACAAAATTATTTCTGATTTTCACAAGAATGATAAAACAATGTTGAATAATGCACAATAAGTAATGCAACCAACTACATTTTTAGGGCAAATACCTGTAACATCTATCAATGTCTTCACAATGTTCTTTATCAACAATTCTCAAATTAACATCTTTTGAGCTGGTGAAAAAAACATTTGCACCTTGCAGTTCTAATAATTGTAGACGCCTTGGTCCAATATGTACAGAATAGCCTTTCGATGCAATATTTACCAATAAGTCTTCCATCTCTAAAGGTCGCAAAGCCATTATTATATTATTGTTACTGAAAAAGACTTAATCAATTAACTTCTCAAGTTAATGAATTGAATAGTGATATATTATCACAACATAAGAATCACTTATTTTAACAGAATCCATAAATTGAAAATCAAATGTGTA